TCTCTGTACACAGAGAGCTGTTACCCTTCCCTTTATAGTTATGACACAGGTTTAACAGCAGTTAAAGCAAAAGTGAATTCACTTAGTCCCTCCAGCACATTGCTTACCATTCCCTGGAAAGTTGTAGCTACATTGAGTGTGCAAAAGGATAGCTTAGGGATCTCAAACAACCTAGAGGGGAACTGAAGGCTGACACCACCAGTCAAAGATATTTGCTCATAACCTTTCTTCAAATCAATCATAGAAACAAACTAGGCAAGTACTAACCTGTCCAATTAATTACCTCGTCTGGGTTCAACCTGCAGTATTTATAGAAACATGTGGGACAAGTCCTTTAAGCTATAAATAATATTAGAGAAATCCAGAACTTTCTGAAAGCCTGTTTACACATATCCATTTCATGTTATCTATTTCCCTCTTAGTTACCTGATCTATTATCTTGCCAACTCCAAAGGTCACTCTCTCCAATGGGATCTATGTCCATCCCATTCTTGGCCAAACCTACAGGCTCTGTGTGAATCAGTGCATGTGTGCAGCTGGGGGTACTATGATACTGAAACATGCCACAGAAAGAGAAGTTTTTGAGGTTTCTGGACTCTGAGTGACAGGTTCTAGAAAGCATTTCTTAGCCAGGAGAGGAAGATAGGATGACATGTCTGGGATCAGACGGAAGCAAATACCAGAGGTGTATCTGGGTTTGAGAGTGGGGAAAGGTATAAAATCATACTGGGAATGCTGTACTTCAGAGATGCAGAAGAAAGGAGAGATGCAATGACAGCTGGTTGTCTGGGGAAGGATGGAGTAGTATCAATTTTTAATGGCATCCCTCTTTTCTTGTGTGTGAGTGGGATGATGATAGGCATCCTAGTATTTTAATTGCTTTTCTCACTGTAGCTTCACATTGATTAAAACATTTTTTTCCCTAGAACAGACATGGCCTATGGGAGGGAACAGAAAACCCAAAAGGAGTTTCAGTATGTTCAGCAGTTTCATGACAGAGTACCATCTAATGAGCCCCACACTCAGTCAAGGTCTCTCCTAATGCAGAAATCCAGAAGCATACCATGAAACTAACATTTGGGAAGGCCTAATATCTTCCAAAGTCCCTGATCAGCACCATCCCTGGATTCTAAACAACTCAACAAAATGAAGGCTCATTTGTCAGTTGTATTAGTTAACATTTCTCCTCATTATCAATGCAGGTACAAAGACTGCTGGAGTTTCATATCCTTCCTAGCAATGCTGTTGCTTACAAGTACAGTTCATACAGTTTCTTACAATTTTTGCATCTTTAGTAATGCATTTTTGTAAAAAATCTTTCTGCAGCCTTTTTATTTCCTTTATCAGCTTGAAAAAGTAGTAATTACCTGACTACATGTTCTAGCATTTTTTCACCTTCTTTTCCAGTTTCTTTACATTCTGAAAATATACTTCCTTTTTCAGGATATGACCTTCTCCTTTTTTTTTTTTCAGTACAAAGGCAAAGCAGTCATCAACCTAATTTATCACTAACTTTGTATTCATGTAAACAATATAAGAAGGGAATGAAGTAAATTTGTAATTCAGAACTACTTTCCCCCTTTTGCAGGTATGTTGACATCCAGATTTGTCATAGCCCCATTGCTTCTGGTCGGCATGAGGGCCCACCATTCATTCTGCTGGTGACATCAAACCCACCTCTGACTGAATTCTCCTAGAGGCTTAAGAGTTTGCCTGTAAGCTTCTATATTTTCTCCTGTTTCTTTGACCCTCCCTTCCCCATCTCCCCCTCTCCCCCGCAAAAAAAGGAAAATGGACTAGCTACTTTAATTTTATTCACACATACTACATGTAATTTTAAAGTTGTTGGAACTTACTTTCACTATGTTATAATATATATAGAAACTGCCAGTAACTGCTATGGCTGAATATCTAAAACTACACAGCAAATTATTTTTGCTAAGCCAAATGCAGCAATTACTAGCACTACCTGTTAAGGGAAAAAGCAGAACTACAAATCATTACTGCTAATCCACAAACCAAATAATGGTATTACAGGAGAAAGTAGCAACTTTTTCTACTGTTTATTTTGACCCTTTCCATTTAAAAAAGGTTAGCAGATTGAAACTTAGCAACTGAAGATCCTCTATATATCCATACAATAAATAGTGTCAGTGCAAGCTCTCTCTTATTGCCCCATCATAATGCCTCAAACAGGTTCATTAATTCTCTGTCTCCAAGCAATCCTTGGCTCTCTGTTGAGACTACCACCAAAGGTGCTGTTTATTGACAATTCTGGTGATGGTTTTGTGATGTGGATTCCTGATCACTGGGAAATGCCTGGCCTTGGACAGTCAGTTCATTTCACACAGATGATCAAGCAAGCAGCAGATGAATACAACTTTCAAGTTATTACCAACTTGAGCTTGATTTGCAGAAGTAACCCAGAGGTGAAAGTCTCTATAAACTCATTAACAATCCCATTATAAACTAATATAGATTTAATATTGGAATTTGTATTGATACATTAATTTCAAAATTTGTCAGAACAACTTGAAAAACTCTGGAAAGAGGTTTCAAAATAATAGTTAATGTAGGCTACAAAATAAAGTGGATCCTCACGTCAGCACTATGGCTAACATTCTTGAAATACCGGGACCTCACTGAATTTTGCCTCTAGGTTTTGTAGTTTATTGGATAGCCTGTATTTGTCTGATTTTGTTTTTTAATAAACCTTTACAATAAACTATTTCTATCCAAGGTTATTATTCTGAGATTCCAGAACAAACACAGACTTTCTGGCTGTTTACTGACATATTTCTAGGACACCTTTAAAGAATTTCTTACTATTTATTCTACTTTTCTTTCATTTTTTGAAATTGTATTTGCTACCTCAAACTTCCTTAAAAACACACAGACTCTTTGAATTATAGTTCCGTTTTCCCAGAGTTTGTGAGGGAAGGTATCACATGTCAAACAGAAATCTGGGGACCAGAATACAATGGCTGGCAATAGTGTGACAATTTGCCACCCCTCTAACTTAATGGCTGGGAAACTTGATTGTATCTGCAAGGATAAAAGGAGAGTGCACACAGGGACAGGCCCCTCCTCCCCCTGAGTGCCCTACTGCCCAACCAGAGAGATGTGAGGCGATTAGCTCTTGCTCCCAAATCATTTATTTAAAGCCCAGCCCAGGGTTTCTCAGGCCTCTTGCACCAATCATGGAAACACAATTATGATAGGATCTAGGAATAGTATTTAGGAATTTAATATTAGGAATTTGTATGAATGTTTTGTCACAACTTGCAGCCGGGGTTCAGTGTGAATATAAGGCCAAAAAGCCAGCAACCAGAAAATAAGAGACATGGGATTTCACTGGTAAACCCTAGGCCTATGGGGAAAAGTCCTGAAGTCCTTGCAGACTGGGGTCCCTCTTTGGTACCTTCTGACCTTTTTGCAGGGGAAGACAAGAGGATTTAGCCAAGCAAGCTGAACTCTTGGGTTAGGCAGTGGAGAGCTACCCTGAGTTATGGGCTATATGAGAGATGCCCAGTAAACCCCACACTGAATTCACGTAAATGCCCCTCCAATTTTAAAAAAAGATGCAGCCTGCTGCTTAAAATCTATCCCTGTCTGTCCTCATTAATATGTGTCCCCTGAGCTATGATTAATTATATAAAAGGCAGAGATGGATTTACAAGCACTTTTGCAATGATTTCTGAGACTCAAATTACAAAGAATTTTTTTTCCTGCAAGTTATTCACTGGAAGTTGAGAATATATTTCTATTTTCCTAAGTAACTTTATCTTAATGAGCAAATATGTAGCATGTGGAGTATTAAACATTCTCATAACCAATCAGTAGTAAGTCAACAGTCTGACAAGCAAATCAAACCCGACTCATATGCCGTAAACAAGGTCTATATTTTATTAATGGAAACAAAACCTTGTATTAACAAGGTTCAAAGTCACCATGCAGAATGAAATATAAAGTAGGCATATGGCAATTTGGTTAGTTTTCTTAAAAGGTAACACTCTGCTTCCTTCCCCAAACCTGAAGAGCTCTGTGTAGCTCAAAAGCTTGTACCTTCCAACAACAGAAGTTTGTCCAATAAAAGATATTCCCTCACTTACCTTGTCTCTCTCATATCTTCGAAAAATCATAGCTACAGCAACACCACAGCATTTTTTTCTTAAAATGCAGTGATATTGGTTATTTCATTAGTTAAACAATTTCCATTTGACCAGCAAAATTAGTCACCAGATAGCCTCAGATTAATCCCCTCAGGGATGAAGAAGTGGCTTAATTCAATAAAGTATTTTTAACAGGTGTTGATTCTTTGCTTTCTATTTTACTTACCGGTCGCTAAACTGGAGGATTGGCATTAATGCTCAGATTTGCATCCCATGGGACGCGGGTGTTTAACTTCCCTAGGCTCCTTTGAAAATCCCAATCTAAGATCACTTGACTCAAATGACTTAACACTAACCTTTTGGAATGGTTCTCAAGAAAGAGAATAATATTTTAATTGTTTTAGTTACAGTTTTATTAGGAAAGAAAGTAATAAACTTACCTGGTACATCTTTGTCAGTATTGGGTACATTTTTTCTAGGTGTTGCACTGAGAAAAGAGGTATGCTTTCTTTTAGCCAGTGTGGTTCGGGGAGGCATATAGTGGCTTTTACTATGTGATTTCTCAAATGATTTTTGAACCTCATAGGAGCCTGGTGGTGGAATTTCCTATAGTATTAAAGAAAATAAGAAAAGTGTCAACTGAAATAACCTAGAATTCAGTAAGTGTGGTAAGCCATTACAACACCTCTGTAACACAAATTGCAGGAGAGCACCACGTATTTAATTTAAAAAACAAACAAACAAACATTGTTTATCTTATGTCTGCTACAGATAGATTTCAATATCATTAGAATAGTAGTTTTATTGCATCACTAGACCTTTAGTTTAATAAAAGGAATAATTTATTATGGGAGGAAAGCCACAACTTTATTAATCACAAAAGTACAGAACAGGCATAAAATTATTGTTATAACTATTTATTAAATCCTCCCAAATGCCTGGAAGTCTGTTAAGACACTGAGGTTCCACTACAGAGTCTGCTAGGAAACTGTGCCCAAAATCGTGACTGAAAACTGTGGGGCACTTTTAGCTCAGGAAAGGAATAGCCAATGTCCTTTCAGAACTAGAGCTGGGCGAATTCCCCTCTCCCACCAAATATTAAATTGTGTATAACTAATTAAATAGTCATTGAATCAGGAACATGGAGTTGAGTCTCCCATATTGTAGAAGAATACCCTAGGGTAATCAGGAGTGGGTCTATCTCAGTCTCTCCTGTTGAAGCTGTTCCACACTGGGCCAGAGACAGCTATTGAGAATGACGCTATAGCCTGCTGGTTAGGGCACTCATCTAGGTAGTGGGAGATTCAAGTTTATGTCCTTACACCAATTATTAATTTTTTTATACACAGTGGAACAGCTTCCACAGGAGAGACCGAGAGATACCTACACCAGGATATCCCATGTGGGAGACCCAAATTCAAATCTCTTCTCGAGATCAGGCTTGGAGAATTGAACTTGGATCACAACTAGAGTAAACAGACAGACCAAACATAAGGATTCAATATGGAAATCCCGTAGTATGGGAAACAGAGTGCTCATTCATATGACCGCTCCTCCTCCTGAATAGGATTGACATGGGAGAGACTGGTAATCTATGTTCAATGGTACCTGCATCTACAGGCTTCTGGGGTGAAATCCTGGCCACATTGAAAGGAGTGGGAGTTTTGCCACTGACTCTGATGGAGTTAGGACTTCACCTCTGAAATTTATATAGCTGGGGAAGCTAGAGGCACAAGCTCCTGCATTAGGTTAAAATCCCCATTTCCCAAAAAGAACCTTTTTAATAGGCCTCAGATGAAAGTGAAACAGAAAAAATATATCATTCAGATGCAGAATTTCCTGTAAATAGATAAACAATGTTTTTCTAAGATTTCTCTGATATATCAGCAACTCTTTAGGAACTCCAAAAAAACCACAAAACTTGTATCTTTGATGATTTAATGTTTCTTTTTTAAAACATATGCATGAATGTGAAGTACCTTAAAGCAAAAAGTATTATAAAACAAGAATTGCTATATTTAAGCATGTGAATTCTTCCATTATTTCAACTGAAATTGTGATTTTGCAAGATATATCATTTATTTCTGTTTGTTTCCATTTGCATCTCTCAAAACACTCTAGGCTCAGTACTGAAGTTAAAAAAACACAAGCGTTAGTCAATCACACGTCAAAAGGCATGGAAAGGCAACTAGCAAATTAGATATATTGTATATATTGTAAAATTAAGTTTGTTTTCATCTACTGGCTAATTTTCAACATCTTACAAATCAGGCACGGTGACTGACAGTGCATCTTTTGCTTGGAAGTAATCAACTATGCACATTGCAATTTTAAGAATTTAATTTTTTTTGCCTCTGGTAATTTCTTTGCTTTATGTGAATGTTCTCAAATATCACCTTCTATCTATAATTATAGCTAACACAATGTGGCAGGCCAAAAAAATGGATCACACCCTTGGTGGGGTTTTTTTTGTTTGTTTGTTTGTTTTTTCTGGTAACAGAACTAATTTCCCATGACACTGGTTTTCTTTCCCAGTCATTTTCTTAAATTGGCTTGTCCCCTCCTCAGACTAAACAAAGTGTTTCTTAAATTATACACAGTTGCATATAACGGAAAAAGCAAACAAACAAGTGGGTTACTTGCCCGTTCTTCTATGAGAGATCATTGACTCTTTCAGCTTTCTCCAGTTCTTTCCCTATTCTGTGGGAGAGGAACTGTTTATATACCCAGCCCCTTTTCCCAGCAGACTTTGCTAAAGCCATAGACTACAATCCCCTGTTTGCCACAGGAATTACAGCTCCCACTCTGCCATGCTCTCCTGGTCTAGTGAGAGAGAGGCTGTCTGGAAACACACAGCACCAGCTTAATTCCTTACCACTATGAGGTGACGGAAGATCAAATTCACCCTGCTCATAGGCCTTAAACCATTAGTAAAGTGGGGTTCTCCATACCCCAAAGACCATTTCTTCTGCCTCACCAAACTACATTACCAGTCCCACAAGTAAGTTTTAGGAAAACTTTAAGAGGACAATACTGGCCTATCCAAAACTGTACAGGGCAGGTACACCTGGTCACCCACACTTTCTGAGCACACATTTTAACATTTAGCTTAATTCAGACATACAACAACTAAAGCCCCCAATTTAAGATATATCTTTAAAATATTAATTATGCAACATCAACCAAGAGAGACAGAAAGGCAGTATACACCCATGTTACTTGCATGCTGGAGGCTGATCATCTTGAGTTCATACTCATTTGAGAGTACTCACCACATGCTAAAATCATGGAATGGGTAAAAGGTGGAAATAACTGGGATGTCCCAAGTCACCCAGCAGCACCACAGAACTCCAACTAAAACAAACCAATTTCTTGTCCAATCTATCACTGCAGTCACCCAGGATTATTGTTCTAGGTGACTTAATGTCCATGCAGGCAAGGGCTCTTTTAGGTTGCCTTTGGATCTCATGGCCACCATGACAACCATGCATTTATCCCTGGCTCTCATGTATACCTGGGCACACATCTGTTTTTCATTTTAAGTGGAACTGGGTATTGAGTGTAGTTTTTAAATACTCATTAGGATCAGATCATCACTAAATTGAGTTTGAGGTGTAATTTCATCCTTGTTTCCATCCGGATAGAGAACTTATTTCAGTAATCTAATCATGAAGACCGCAGGATCCAACTGATTTCAGATTTCTCCAGGGGAGAAGACCCTGAAGACAGCAACCCAGTCTATCATTAGTGTGATTGTTAATCAATAATCCTTCTAAGCATCCTATTAATTGTCATCACCTATCACCATTCATGCGTACAAAATCATCTGCAACTGACCAAACATGTGCAGCCAAGTCAAATTGATATTTTTTTTAATTCAGTTCTGTAATGGTGGCAGTGCAGAGGTGAAGAAAGTTTTCTCTTCACCACAGCATTTGCAAAATTACATCCAGCAAAAAACTGTCTCAAGTGATTGGATACCCAGGTAAATCCTGATGGTCTCTTTTCGGGGAGTCAAAATTTCTCTTCCACAAGGAATTTTCCACTTACTTCACTTACTTGTTCTGAATCAGGCACAGAAAAGATTTGAATCCACATCTCCTGAGTGCCTTAGTCACCAGGCAAAACAGCCATTCTTGTTCTTACTCTCTGTGGCCCAAGGAATACAAAGTGGAACTGTATCAAGAGAAGAGATTAAGAGGAGAATAGACAATAGCCTGGTGGGCAGGGAACCCACCTGACAGGGGAGAGAGCGGAGTTCAAGACTCTGCTCTAATGAATAATTAGATATTTATACAAAGTGGGAAGCTTCAACAGGAGAGATTGAGAGCAATGCATCTGAGAATAGCCTACAGTCTGGTGCGGAAGATGATCACCTGGGTGGGGAGAGATCTGAGTTCAAGCCCCTGCTTCAGAGTGGGGATTCAAATCTGGGTGTCACCCAGCCAAGTGCCCTAACCATTGGGCTAAATGTTATTGTGGGTGGGGTGCACACATGGAAAGTTTTTTGAGCTGGCCCTGAAAAACCTTTTCCCAGCCCAAATTAATTGGTCAATTCACAATTTCAGATCAACCAAGACTGAATTTTTTGGCAAATAAACGTTTTGTGTGAAAAATGTCACTCCGGTCTAGTCATTAGATCCTTATTCAAGAAGCCATCACTGCACACCAGAAGATTTATCATCTCACTCTTTTTAATGTTCCCATTCAGGGGAATGTTAAGAATGCGGTGGCAAGGCAATTCTGGTTTTATTTGGAGTCTCACACTTGTTAGTGGAACTGACAACCCTGCCACATATAGTCAAAGCTTCACACGATCTGCCGCCATTGAGGGTGTGAGGACAGAATTAAGTGTATTGCATTAGTGCACACCCAAGGGACTAAGCTTCTGAGTATGACAGTGAGTGAGACTGAGGCTACTTATGGAGGTGCAGAAGCTGGAAGGGTGCAGAAGTCAAATTTGGCACTGGTGATCATGGTAGTAGATAGAAAGCAGAAAGAAAAGGAGTGTGAAAGCAGGAGAAACCAATGGAAAAATAAGAGTATTATGGGTGGAAGAAAGCTGTAAATTAAGTCACATTACTAGGAATTCACATGCCTAGTATCCAGGGGTAGGGAGGATGGGAAAGAAAAGAGACAGACAGCCTCTCAAGTGAACCTTAGGTGCTGTGCAGATTTTACCTTTCAGTGAGGCCAGATTCTGCCACCTTTATATGCTGAATGGCATCTTTGTGAGTAACTGCACTGATTTCAATAAAGCTACCTCTGAAGTAAGCTGCTGCTCAACAGGAGAAAGGATATCAGAATATGACACAATGTGTGCAGTGAATGAAGCAAAGGGTCTTGCTACATCCTGCTTCATTCAAGTAGGATGGAGGGAAATGTACTTGTCCTCTAGTCGACTAAAATGCACATGAGCAAAGATAGCCTGGATAACCCTTCTATTCCAGCAAATGCAACTCCCATGGATGGAGGCAAAGAATTTCTTCTGAAAAAAGATCGTTGATGAGATCACAACTGTGATTGACATAGCAAGATATCCCCTCCAGCAGCTCCACACAGCCTAAAACAGTTTTGAAGACCAAATTCTTTTCAATGGCTATCTC